TACCATTATAAAATTTGATCACGTGAGAGGTGGTTACCATTATAAAATGTGATCACGTGAGAGGTGGTTATCATTATAAAACGTGATCACATGAGAGGTGGTTACCATTATAAAATGTGATCACATGAGAGGTGGTTACCATTATAAATTCTGATCACGTGAGAGGTGGTTACCGACTGTTGATTTTTGTGACGTGAGAGTTGATTATCCGTTATTGATGTGATCACATTCTGTATTTAATGTCAACGTCCATCACTAGCAACGAATCAGGAATGTGGGTGAACTTTTGGCAATATAGTGCTGTGATGGGATCAGCCGTTGCTTGTTATGTAATGAGCTGAGGATATTTGGTTGAGACACTGAAAAATGTAATGTGCAACCAAAAATCCTGTATGTAGAATCATTATGAAGACTATCTTAGATACACGGCTATAATTGGATCACATCACAAAACATGTTTCAGCGAATATGCATCTCTCATTATATAGTATGCTTAGCAACTTAAGATCAATAACCCAATATGAATACGAATTTAATACAAATCACTCTGTTCATCTCCGGGTAACGGTCTCGGTCACGTTTACAGACTGTAATTTCGGGATTTTACTCAAAATGGCTGTCAATTCTACAGGTTACAAAATGACTCATCGTATGGTATTACCTTTGAGTATAATACTTGTGAGCAAACATTCAATTGAATCATGCAATAAATTAAATAGGAATCGGCATGGGCATAAATAAAAACAAAATGGCCGCCAGTCAGGTATTTTTGCTCGAATCTCAAAAATGTATGTTGTATGATTCAAAAACTGCATATTATTGTAATCACCTGTTTGTCCACGAGAAATAGTCCTGGGCACATTTAAAGTCTGTAATTTTAGGATTCTAGACAAAATTGGCCATAAATTCGAAAAATTTCGAATCACAAAAAAAAATTAAAAGAAATAAATTGGTAATTAATTGGTGTGCAAACATTCAACTACTATGAGACAATGTATTAGTGAGAAATTGGCTTAAACGTGAAAACAAAATGGCTACCGCCATTTTTTGTTCGAATATCGAACAAACATTACGTGTACCTGTAACTCTATTTACATAATAATCATGATATAAGTTTGAATGAAATCATCCTGTTCATCTCAGAGAAACGGTACCGGGCACGTTTAAATATCAGAATTCAACAAATCTGAAGACCAAAATGGCCGCCATATTTTATCAAATTGTATACATGATCTTTGTGTTAATTTAGAATGTGAACGCCTGAAACATGTCTGATAAATGGCTCCGGGCGCTCAGACAGACGGGACCCAGATTAATAGTCCCAGATTTTGGACTTCCAAGTACGGTATTTGTCCGAAACGGGACTAATATCTAGAGAACAAGATAGCATTACCCATGATCCTTTATGCTATGTGTCGATACAGATTTATTTTACAGGCGTTGTACACGTCACATTGGGACGCACGTCGAAAACGTGCTTTAATTTTTTGTAGAACTAATAGTGAATCTAACGAGACTAGCTGGGACTTAATTTGTTGACGTCTGTCTCCACCTGTAATTCGGACATACACACACACGATACATCTAGATACATCCCATTCTACATCAATAATGCATAATTACATTTAAATAATGATTATTCACGTTAGAAATCTTTATTGCAAGATAAAAACGAGAATACTTTTAGCAACAATAAAAGGAATTTCAAGACATTGGATAAAGTGTACTCTGTCTTGTAAATACAAGAATAATATATATCAGAAATAATCTTTTTTCAACAAAACAGTCTTGATTGTCAATAAATCTTTTGCAACAGTACAATTTTTCTCTATTACTAAAATTGAGCACATGAGGGTGGTCGGATAAAAATAAGATTTGAGCATGCATTATATTCGCTTGGTTATTTCACAGGAACAGACAAATAGAGTAACTCCTACAATTCACGCGAGATTTGAGTAATCTGCTACAAATCATGTGTTATTTTGACGTGACGTAACGTGACGTAAGAACTTCGTCACACAAAAAACGTTAATAAGTAGTGAACTCGGACAATGGAAATATTTTAAGTAACAACATCCGGAAACTTTCAATTAACATTAAAAATAAAATGTATAAATATTCAAACAACTTTGGAATGACTCGGCAAGTGCCCGGATGTAGGAAAATGTAACATGACAAGGCACTGGATTAAATTGATGACGTCACAAGCTGGCTCAACTATTGACCTTATTGGGTTTTTTTGGAAAATAAACAGTTAAATAAAAACGAAGAACATGATAATAGAATAATAAGAAATACAAAAAAAGGGGAATATTGTGTACAAAAATAAATAAAATCTCCCCAACAATATTGGCAACAATAAAAAATGATTGTGATAAAGCTTAAAAAAAGTGTACATTTTGACCCGAATTTGGCAAATAATATTTATGAAATTAAAAGCTATATAAAGTATATATTTATACAGTTCCAGGCAAGGGGTAAAACAATAAAATGTGGTTTTTGTTACTTTATACAGTTCCGGGTCATATGTCAGGAGTCATGGCATTTGCACATATAGTGGACGATAACATAAGCCCTGAATGTACAGGATACATATCACGAGAGTTCAATATATCACGAGAGTTCAATATATCTATAAAGTTTAACTATAATAAGGTCCAATATGGCTGCCTGTGTGAGGCACGTGACTCGAGGGGTAGATACTCCCTGTTCCTGGTGGTGACCAATATGATGTGGGCGTGGGGAAAAGGCTGGTCGAAGAAGAAGGTATGCGCGGTCCTACGAAGTTCAGCTTATGCGCATGCGTATAGCCGGGGAGGTACGACAAATCTGACTGGTATTTGTACGTTGTGGGATCAGACTGCATTTGACACTGTTGTGCAATCCCGCCGAAGTCGAATTTATAGGCATATCGTTTTCCGTGTACTTTGGTCATAATGTTCTTATCGTAGTAATACCGTAAAGCTCGGCTCAGTTTGTCGTAATTCATGTTTGGTTTACTTTTACGTTCTCCCCATCGTCGTGCAACTTCATCCGGGTCTGTGAGTTTGAATTCTCCATTCGTTCCTTCCCACGTGATGCAATTGGCGTTACTGCTGTCTGATAATAATTCTAGTAGAAATTGCCAAAGTTGAATTTGTCCGCTTCCTAAAATGTCAAAAAAAGAATACATCAGCTATTGTGTAAATATTCAATATTCAAATCATATTTTCAGCGACGTTGATCAACAGGTGTTCATGTCACCATTATAATCGCGTAACTCGTGATTGTCATACTGAACATTATTTATTTATTTATTTATTTATTTATTTATCTACTGTAATCTGGCATTCATGCACGTTTTAGTTTGTCGATTTCACCCGACACTCGCGGTGACGTCACCAGGTAGCCTGGTGGGTAATATGTTTCAATTGAATGGCAGTAAAAGATGACATGGCGGGGTAGACGGGACTACGTTATAATAACATTCGCGGGAGGTTCGTCATAAATCAGTGACTATATCGTGACCGATATTGCTTTATTTGATTTTTCCTTCGTGCCTAGAGAGGCTTAAGTGAGTCAATCCACATACACTCAGAAACACACATCCATCACAGCACGCTAATTTAAGGATGACACATACAAGATTAATCGACTGCGACGAGCTACTTAATCTCTTGCGACCAATGATTCCGAAAATTAACGAAATACCTGCTTTTCTGTGATTTATATATCATAAGAATAATTAGCACGGAATTTTTACCAATACAGCAAAATAATAAAGCTAAAAAATATGTTTTCGTAAAACAGCTATTGGCGAATAAATGAATGAATATGGATCGTTGGAGGCAACATTATCAAAGTTTTGGAGCACGGTAATTGTACTATTGCAGCAGTTTTGGTCAATTTAACGCACAATTTGTTTCGCGGGAAATTATAAAATTCACATTTTACGAATAATTTAAAGTGAATAAAATTTGTTACTATGCGCTTAATTAAACTTAATTACCCATAATTAGAATGTCGAATTTAAGAATATGTTTTTCGTGATGTTGAATGCCAAGTTGTGAATAATATATATATATTGTGATCGGTCGAGAAATCTATTAGAATTATAATATTTATTTTATTTTTCGTTGTTGTCGACAAGTTTTTATACAGATTGTTTTTGTTTTTTTACATTGTACATGGATGTTACATTTAATTAATTGCCGAAGCATGACCTCAATACAGAGTGTTGGATTGCCGGAAATGTCCGCCATGGGAACGGCTCTAATTTGTTTTTGGAAGGACAGAAGCGAAACGAGTGGCGTGTTAACTTGAAAAAAGGGCAGCGGTAATTAGGAAGTGGCCCTAGGCATTGGAGGAAATAACGCACAACGATAGCGAGTGAGATAATAGGGTTGCCATCTCATCAAAACAAGGGAACGGAAACGTGTGTCCGTCTTAATAGTGAGATGAAGGGAGTACATAAAGAGTGTGATTGCATGGGTGATACTTGGCTTTTGGATTCTTAATGTCGCCATAAGCGCTGAAATAGTTTTCGGTTTAATTTGCTTTTTAACTACTTTTACCAGTTCATGTTTTTTTATAATTTATACTAATATTTTTTTTTTATTATCGTAATCAAATTTGTAAATATAACTTTTTAGCTAGCACTCCGGATATACATGTATACTTTAGCATCATGGATGCTCGTTGCCGGGCCACCGCAGTGTGGACAGGGAATACAGTAGGTTGTTTCACGTGGTACTAACATACGCCTCACAAAATATGTAAAAAAAAAACATGGCGGCAAGGCAACAGTATATTCCAAGGGCTATGAGAAAAGCAAACGTAGGTAGGGTTTTTATGGCCTACTTTGGTATCCACACTAACATACGAGCGGCCGTCGCCACACTGTCTAGTAGGCGACACTTGTTTGGCGCGCGCTCATCTGCAAATGGTATAACACAGCAGCGAATGAATGTAAGAGTGACAAAAGAAGTACTGCAGTTCGACAGCCAATAATTGTCAGTGGAGCCGTTCGAAGATCAGAGGGTCACGGCAAAGCTGGGAAAAGTACGCCCCATCATTGCGTTATTGTACTTGTCAACGTGAGGGGATCTGAGAGGGTAGAGGAGGCGTACGTTCACATATGCATGGGAACGAAACCGATGACGGCATTACGGCATAGTGTGCATGTTACTAACAACAGCATTCATTTCTTAGGGTCCATGCTATTGATGTCGCCAAGTGTTCCCATGGAAATGTCACTTGTAGAAGTGTCGCACATTTGGGTGGGGCAACTACTCAACTATCGATGGGTGCTAGGGAACAAATGACAAAGGTGAAGGCGGGGGTCGTTTGTTGTTGTTTTATTGTTCTCAGTTGCGATGTCATGTAAATACGCCATGGAGATGTAGGAATATGTATGGATTGCGTAGAGTAGGTGAGAAGTGCATTATGGGAGTCCCATGCCCCTGGAAACCCCGCTCCGCAATGAAAGATAGTTCTTTTTTTTTCTGAGCGTTGAGCATTTTCTCATTAAAAAAAACTGAGTACTCGTAACCATTACTTTCTAACTGTTTTCAATGAAACGGCATTGGTGCGTAAAGTCGGTCTAAAAACGAAACGGAAAAGCTTTTCGTTGACTTTGCAGAGAGCACTTAGCTCGAATGTTCTGCGCATGAGCAGATCGATTTGTAGATTGAGGCGCATGCGCCGATCAATATTTGGTATTTAAGCGCTAATAAAGTATACAAACTACAAATGAAGAAAATCGATAAATGCGCGAGACAACCACGGTACCGAAATGGTCGTCACACAAATTGACTTCATTGTGCGCTCTACACTTGCTACAAATATCTCGACCCGACATAGTTCGATGTAATCAAAGAAATTAACTGGTTCGTTCAAAAATATCAGAATAAAAAATGTGACAAAATATTTTCTTTGCCTATATTTTTTTTTTATTTCTCTGTTGAAAATTAAACATGCCTCTAACAGAAGTCCACACACTGTGGATAACCCGCGTTACGGTGAAATGGACTGGTGAGGAACGGAGTAACGCCCAAACATATGAACCACGTGACTACTAGTTCTCCCACGCTGCACATCGACGGTGCACTGTGCTAAAAATAAACAATTGTTGCTGGGAACAAAACAACGAATGGGATATAGAGATAAGGCCAAGGGAAGTCAGTTATACGAAGAGTAGAAATGAATCTATAATAGCGACACATGCGTGGTATCTTTGACTAACTGCGTCTGGTGTACTTGGGCGGGTTAATGTGCGTAAAATTGTCTCTAGAACCCTCTTACGGTACCAAAATAACAAGGGCCTACATAGACGTAGTTAAGGTGATAAACTTAATCATTCGCTAAAACGAATTAAATTTGACGTGAATTCGAATAAACTGTTAAAAAAAAAAAAACTTTTTTTAGAAAAAAATTAAAACACTGAATTTTAATATATGTTCTCTCACAAAGTAATCAACTTTATACGAATACCCCCGAGGGAAGTTGGGTCTCTATTTTCGCGTGATGGTTTGTGAAACCGGTGTACTGGGCACGGTTCTATAATTACGGTAGCGCTAACTAGTATCATCTACGCTGGTTTTCGGTGACGATGTGTGCCTCGGGTGCGAGGTGAGACGATCGTCGTGCCTGTTTCCGTAAAGTTATCCCTAGTTTGACAATGTTTACATACTACCATCAGATCGCGTAGCAAGTACCCGAAATAACACAATGCATAAAAGGTTGTAGCTGCAAGCAACGTCGGTTCCACTCACTAACAGCAAGTGGCTGCAGGGTAAGCTCTTATTAAATATTTTTTTTTTATCTTTTGTACTGTTTTGTTCAATTCATTGCGAATATCCATCATTTTTTTAATCACAAATTGAGAAACAATATCAATAAAATCATGGTTATACAATAAATATTTTTTGTGATAAAATATTTAGTAAAACGAACAACGGTAACATTATTTGGTGGTACGTGAAGTGAGTAGCTGACCACGAGCGAGAAGATGAACGATTGTGACTTAAGGAAATAATAAACGCATTGCAACAACCTCGTCATGATTCAAAACAGTTTCACCATTGAACTTCGTTCATTTCATTTTTTTATTTGAATGTTATGTTGTTGTTTTTATTCAAGGCTGAACGGCGGCATGCCGTCTAACAAAAGAACACTGATATTTGACGGAACTTTGGCTCCTCTCACGGATGACATTGTGACATGGGAATTTTAACACCCTTTATGGGCAGCCGATTGACATCCATAACCAGAGTTACAGCTAATAATTAAAACTGTTACTAATTAATTCTTCAATACATTCAGGATAATTTGAAACTGAGATTGCGTAGTATAGTAGATTTTCTTGACAGTTAACGTTGTCTTGGCAACCTCTATCGTGGTTCACTGAAACGGTCATTTTAGGAAGGTAGATATTACGTGTTTACAAGAGTCAACATGTTTTATTATCATATTTTACGTTTATTTATTGAATCGAAACCTGACTCAACGGACTATGAAACTTCAATAGCCGTTTTGGGTGCTCCCCGTCGTTGCCATAGATATTGACGATATCAAGCATGACAGTCGTATTGTTTTTTTTCAGTCTCCCATACAGGTCACGTGCCCAGGCCGACCGTAGCCTCGTTTTGATTCCACGTCCCCAATTTTGCGGCTGGGCTCATCCTTTTAAAGGAACGGCGTTCGGCAAGATTGTCCACTGATTACAGGCGGCAGTGTATTTTCCCGGTGCCCGTGCCTCGCTTCCCACGCAGTACGCATGGCGGATAAGTTTGAGGAGTTCGATAGAACAGAATATACAAACAACCGGGATGCCTGGCCGGAAAGTGCCGTAGGTTGCAATAAATTACATGCCTAATTATGAAAATAAACGATATTTCTGTAAATAAAATGAAACTATGAACTCACCTGAATTAGCAAGTCTGCTGCTCGCCGGTCCAAACATTTGGTAAGGATCTAGAAATAAACGTAAGCAATACAATAAATGTACAATCTGGTCTGTTTAGTATAATTGCAGATAAATCAGAATCAAAATCAAAACAAATACTGTTCTTTTCAAATTCAATTTATAACTAATTAACCAATTAAACATACCTGGTTTGATGTGCGTATGTGGTTCCACTGCCGATCTGCCAACATTTGGGAACGACGGGGTATACCCTACAAATCAAACAATTCGACAAGAATAAGCCACGATTGTAATGCATATCACTTATACATCCGGGAAACAAACACGTTTTACTTTTCACGTTTTGTGTTTATTTCAATTCGCATAAATCTTATTCGTTGCCCCGGCAAAACGGTTGAGTCATTGCTCTAATGATGTTTATTATGTGTTTTTATCTGTTTTGTTAAATGGGCAGACGAATTGATACGACCATGTGACACTGCTGCATGTGTAGCCCAATCTTAACACGTTTTTAATATGACAGTTTATCGGCAAGTGAATGGGGGATCCCCTCAAACCGATTGAATCAGTCCTAATTCGGTCGGATTCATCCCAAAATTGGCATTAATAAATAAGACCGCTACAATAGGGGAGAAGTCTGTCTACAGCTGTCGGCAAATTGGATTGTACTCAGCCTCGTTCCCAGCAAATCAAAAATTAATCCCCTTTATATCCATCCAAATAATCAGATCTCCATCGGCAGAAGCGTTAAACTCATATGATTGCGATTTTTGGAGCTCATTATTTTCTTTTTTAAGTGGGTGGTTTTGTATCGCCCAGTCACACCACTGGTGTCGGAGAAAATCCATAGATAAATCGACTTAAGTTTGTCTGTTCCGACTTGTCATCAAGCTAGTGCGTTGAATAGTATTGGGACTAATCCAAAGATCTCCCACTCGGATCTCGTGCTTCCGGTTAATGTCGTTGGTCTAATTTGCTTTGGCTTACGTATCATATACAACCCGCTTTAGACCAATTTCGCTAAAAAGTCAGTCGCTGTATTCGACCGACCGCCATAGTGTCCTCTCTAATGCTGATCGCTTTAGCGATGAAACATGGTTTCGTCATCTTTCTCCGCGGCGCGCATGCATTCATCGGATTCTTTTTACTTCCCGACAATTCAATTTTGAGGGAAAAACTAAAAAACCGCCAACAATTAACCTCGACTTTTCAGGAAGCCTAGCAACGGAGATGATGTTGTCGAGAGACAGCTGTCGTCACTATCATTACCCGTCTTCAACACAGGTGTGAGCAGTGGCCGATGGAATTGATCAGTTGTGTTGATGTGTTAGAATCAAATAGTATACTAATGAGGGCTGCTTAAGCAAAGCTCTATCTAGATTAAATTGAATTCATCTACAACATCTGTGTCTGTTGTAAACCAATAGAATTGTACTAATTGTCGGTCCCGTAATCCCTCAACAAGAACATACGCTTCTGACTTCACCGTCTTTCTCCAGTCACGGTTGGCGGCACGGCGTATTACCGTCACTTCCACTGCATCTCTACACATCACAATAAATGATTCCGTTCCCGTGAAAGGGGAAACCATGGATATTCGTCGAATTTATTATGTCATTTTTCTCGTGACTTTACACACTATTAAAACGTGAAGTAATCAATTATTAATATACATCCTTTTGATGATCTGTATTCTTACCTTTCGTTTGTGACGCTTGTGAACTGTTCCATGCGTTTTGTCTTTCCCGCACGAGGACGTCATATGAGGGTTCTATAACAAAGAAAACAACGAATGAAAGTCAATATTAACTAAATTTATGAAGCTCATTCAATGTCGTACCACGAGCTGTGATAATAGCGAGGTTATCGAGGTCTTGCAAAAACAAGCATCGAACGGTCCTGCAGATATAGTGAGGTTACCGTGGTTCAACTTAAACCTTTGTCGTAATACTAGTATCGCGGTAGCCGTCATATGATACATAATAAAATAAAATATTCCGGGATAGAATTTTGAATGAAATTCTGTAGTTGGGAACTGATCTAAGATTGAAGGGAAGTCGTTTTTAATTCGTTTTATTTGCGCGCTTTCCAGGGTCGTGCCAGGTGCGTGAATTGATAATAAGTTGGATATTAACGACAAAATAATGAAATTGGCCAGTAATTGTAGATTAGTATAATCCATACATCGTTGTCAGTTTAATATCATATAAGCTAATCGCTTCTGCATATTTACCAGTGTGCTAATCGTCTGTAGGGCTTAATTGGCTTTTGGCCCTAGTTACCCTACACTGCAGAGCCCAAATGATTAGCGCATAGCTAATATGTTCCTGTAAGTCACCAACGCAGTCAGGTGTCAATGACAGCAAGATTAGTGCATCAAATCGTATTTCTTAATCTCCCGATTCAATCATGTACATTAACTAGGCCCGGTTAATTAGTTAAGAAGTGCACGAAACGTGGGAATTTTAATCTCTATAGTTTTCTGTTATTCTGTGTATGTTTTTTTTTTCTTTCGTTTTAACCTGGCTTTCTACTAGTTTGAGCGCACAGGGGATGATAAATCCTGTCATTGTACCGTGATGAAATTCTTGGATCGACAGTTAGATCTATTCTAGTTTATGTAATATTTTTTTTTGCAAATAAGTGGTTATAAATCTGGTTGAGTCACGGTGGCATGAGATATTTCGTTTAATGATGGCGGTGGATCCGGCATTGATTTTTTTTTCACTAGGACTCGATTAAAAGCCCTGTGTCGCATACTTGACTGTTCAACAAGACTTGTCAATGAACTACAAATACTGCTTATATCTATTCTTTCCTCTTTTAACTCTAGTTTCTCGATCATATTATTTCAAGTTCACAACAAAAACTGATAAACAAGATTAATGTTATCAATAAAATCTTTTATAATCGAAAACTTGAATAAGTGTCACAAAATAATTTCCATGTCACGTGACTCGAGTAGACGATGGAAATCTAACCAAAACCGTGCCCATTAAAAAAACCTTCGCATAACACTGTAGCAGAAGGCGAAGTAGAACCGAATTCTGGACGTAATATTGCTTTTTTAAGGGAAAGAATCGTTTTGATTTGATAAACATGGATAAACCGAACTATAATTACTAACATTTCATTATTGGAACTGGACTGATCTATCCACACGTGTCGTCAACTGCTAAAAATCAATTCACACAGACTACAATGACATGAATAGATACCCCAGAAATCTTCTCATTTCCCGCCATTTAGAAAGCAATTTAGTAATTGCCAATAAGACGTATTCAGGGATGGCGGGCCGGTTTAATTAGAAGATTAAAACAATAAGTCCCACGGTGGGAAAATGAATACATATGCACGTTTTGGGAGTTATCACACTGGATACTGCGTACTAGAACTTTGGCGTGATACAATATGTTGATATTGAAGTGTCTTTGCCGTTGTTGAACTCAGTCAGTCATCGTTGTTAGCTGGATATAACACCACCTTGTCGATTTGGAGGTGTATGAGGCCCGCCCGGGAAATAAGTTACCATGACAATATCAATAATTTGAAAGCTAATAATCATTACGAAAATTGCATGTAAGCAAACAATGTATTATCATATACACGATATATACACATCGAACATGGTGCGTATGGGACACATATTGAACGCGACGCGTTCTATACGTCGTATGGGACTCATGTTGAATACAACGCGTTCTATACGTCGTATGGGACCCATATTGAACACAACGCGTTCTATACGTCGTATGGAACCCATATTGAACACAACGCATTCTATACGTCGTATGGGACCCATGTTGAATACGACGCGTTCTATACGTCGTATGGGATCCATATTGAACACAAGCGTTCTATACGTCGTATGGGACCCATATTGAACACAACGCATTCTATACGTCGTATGGAACCCATATTGAACACGACACATTTTATACGTCGTATGGGACCCATATTGAACACGACACATTCTATACGTCGCATGGGACCCATATTGAACACCACGCGTTTTATACGTCGTATGGAAACCATATTGAACACAGCGCATTCGATACGTCGTAGGGGACCAATATTGAACACGACGCGGCATAACGATGTGGCGCTTTATGGGAACAGATAAATCGCAAATATTCAGTGTGTGAAAACTCGACTGCCATCTGGTATATTTTGACAGTCAGTCGTGTGCCACATTCAAGAGTAAAGACCGTCCTCCTAAACACTGAGAATCAATCAAGAATCAATAAAAACACGACATTGGACGTAAAGAGGATTAACGACCAGTGGTCAACTATGACGGCACCTTATAATGCGTGATTACACGTGCATTCATGCGAACATGTTCTCACTGTTTTAGTCAATGGCTGCGTTAATGTATCACGTAAAATCACTCATAAAAAATCCACAAAAAATAAAATATTTAACAGCGCATATTTGAAATTAAATTTCACATTCTCCCTTGTTGTCCTATTTTTTCAAGTGGAATTCCGCGGTTGGCAGAGTCCGACATTGATGTCAATTAGCGTCCTTCACTTGGAATTTAAAGAGCACTGGGACCGATCAACAGAGTCCACTGTGGGAATATTAAAGTCAATTACATCGGAACTACTAAACGATAAAGTAATTGTAAATAAACTAAACATTGTAAAAAAATGGTTTCATTGTGTATTTTAATTTAGTTACTGGTGCATCTACACATTGAACGATATTTTCACATCCGAACGAGATTACGTGTGATAACTTATACAATATACAAATAAAATAATAAATACACAGGTGAGTCCCCCCAAAAAAAAAATCACTGTCATGCGCAACGTTAAACATGTAATGATATATATACCGGTGGTTGTTAGAAACATTGAACAGGAGTACTTGCAATCACTTGCTGGTGACAAGGTGGAGTGGTTAGCTATGCGCTGCATGTATACTGTCGGTGATGTCCAATTCCAATGAGTATTTGATCCAAAAGTCCCAAATCAATGTATTATTAAAATTGACGAATTATAAGCTGTCGCGTGACATTTACTTGTTTCTTCACAGTGGTCGGTAAACAAATACTCTTTGCGTACAGATGAGTTGAAGACTTCTTCTAAATACCCGGATGATCAAATGATGCGTTTCCTTGGACCCTTTCTGTACATATGACACTCACACAGTCACACAGACAATTATGTATCCGTTTTAAACCGGAAGTTAACGTTCAACGTGCCCTAATTGTAATCCAAAATGGGTGTATGCTCGTCGTATGAGACGGACGAGTCACGCGTGCCGTTGACCAATCAGAGAACGTGATATATGAATACGATTATGGTAAAGGATAGTTGATTGGACGTTTGAAAGAAAACGTGCGTAGATACAGTGAGAAGTCTCGTGCCGCGAGTATATTTACGGGACTAAGTTCTACCTACTCTCACTACAGATCAAATTTTGAGTTAATATGCAAAGATCAACTCACCGTAAAATTTAGCATTAATTCATTTGCAAGCACATGCAATTATTTTCATATTATTATAATTTGATGCAATCGTTATACTGATTAGAATTTTCGAAAGTTCACATCTCAGCTC